TAGTTAATTAATTAAATATAATAAAATCACAGTTATATTGTTACATATTTTAAAATTAATTGATCACGGATTATTTCGAGGTCACAGATTATTTTTGAGTCACATATTATTAAATTTTTAGGTTACAGTTGAGTAATTTGTCACAAATTACCAAACATTTGGTCACAGATTACCAACATTTGGTCACAGACTATTGCCACTACCACTATAACACTTTTGACCACCCTCATCACGCCGCAACAGCACCAACAAAACCACCGACAACCACCTCCACCACACCACCCACCACAAACCTGCCACCACCTCTTGCCAACACCACCACCGCCACCAGATCGCACACGAATGGAGAGACATACCACCACCGCCTTCACCACCATAGCCACCATCACTCCCTTCGCCACCAGCAAACAACCTGCACGACTATCATCGCATCACCAGCACTGAACAACCACCAAGACCACCACCGCTCACCATGACAACCACCACTAAAACACAACCATTTTCAAACTGAAAACAACACAACCACCAAATGTCGCTGCCCAACTCATCTAGGGTTCGTTTGATTTGGGCTTTCGATTCCAATTTTCGACTAGCGATCTGACGGATCTGAAGGACCACTAAGCCCTAGTAACTTTTTCCGAACAAATTGAGGACTAGAAGATCAGTCAACTGATAAATGCTCTAACCAAGAATATTCCTCCACATGGTCTTGGTAATGAAACCTTCAGTCCTCATAACAGGTGGCTGTTTCATCAATCCTTCATGTGGCGGTTCAGTAGCCAGTGCAAGTGCACCTAAGTGTCCATAATCAGATTGACCCAAAGCAATTGTACAGCTGTAAGGAGAGCAAATCCTGAAATTGATAGCAATAGATAAAAGTTGTTCACGAGTCATCGAATCTGCGGCTACACTACGCACGATTGTATGCAGCGGTGGAGGGTGCACCACAGGGAACGACAGCAGCCTCAACGTCGCATTCGACGCCACTGAGAACGACAGACTTCGTACAGCTCCAGTGGCTCCTTCTCGTCTTCCGGTGGCGCCGTTAAACGAGGGAGAAAGTAGACAAGATGAGAGGAGAGAGAGAGATGGGAGGGAGTAGAAAGTGAAAAATTAGGGATATGGGGTTTTATATATTACCTGATTTTTGAATAATGAAACTTGGTCCCTGGTTTTTGAATTTTAATTTTCAAACCCCTGAAATTATGTAATTTCCTCATGAATTA